TAGAAATTTCTTCCAATACTGTTTTTGGTATACTAATTTGATCTTGAGGTGCAGCAAACACACCTCTTCCCATTAACATTGCCATTGTAGGTTTGTCTCCTCTTTTTAAGATTGATTTTTGTACTAGCTCTCGGGCGGCATCTTCATACTCAGTCCTCCATAATATATAATGTCCAGGAGACAGTACTGATTTAGCTGTCTGCTGCCAGTCATAAGGTGTTAGCCACATACTACCAATCATTTATACTATTTGCAAAGTATGTGGAGATGAGGGTCCCATGTCTTTTACTGCTATTTGAAGTTTTTTTTAATGTTCTCAAGGGTTCCCACATAGGCTGTCCTTCATCCCATACAGTTAATGGGAAAGAAAAGGACACATCTCCACTCTTTCTGGCCTCCCTCAAAGCTCCTAAGAACCCAACATTATTAGGATCCATTTTAACAGATTTTCTACTTACAGTAGTTACTGGCAGCAGATACTTTGATCTTTTCAGAGGATCCTGATCATGAACATGATCTCTTTCCCCATCATTATCATGATAACAAGCTGCCTGATCATCTTGATCCCAATCATTATAGTCATCATCGTTAGGCCAATTATTAGAGTTATATTTTGCAGTTACTGGTCTTTTGTTTAATTTGTTATTCTCATCATTTTTACTCTCGCTATTAGTATTATAATCTTTATTATTGGAACGACAATTGATAGGAACTGCCTCATCTCCTTCCGAAGGAGCTTCTTCTAGGAGGGACTCCATTTCAGTTTTATCAGTTAGTAGATCTCTAATTTGGACCCAAATTGGAAAGGCCAGGGCAGGGACTTCCCCTGGACCATGCTGTTCATAATATCTACGAATGTCCTGACCTACTTTTTTCCAATCTGCTAATGAGAGACTGCCTTCTTCTGGAAACCAAGGACTGACTTTTAATAAAAAATCATAAAATTCTGCCAAACTTCTTTTAGGAACTTTGCTGCCTCTAGATTCTAGCATATGACTCAAAATTGATAAAAAAAAAAAGGCCCTTATTCTTTGATTGAGAATGCCCCATGATTATTACCAGTTACCTTCTCGTCTTCTTAACCTGGTGATCCTTTACCAGTGGGCCTGCAGCGCCCTGACGAGGTCCTATCCTTGCCTGAAATTATTAAAAAGAGAGAAAAGGGGAGAGATAGCTTACCCTCCGGGTCCCTAGTTCGAGCGCCACCTGCAACGGACCAGCCCAGACCGGGGCAGTTCAGTCCGATGGGAACAGGGTCGTCGAGAGGGTGGACAAGGAGTCGGCGAGTGACAAACAGAC